TTCCCCTGCAGGACATTTCAGGCATTATAAACTTGATTTTTCTTTTGAAACTTCTATCTAAGCGAATAGAAATGTGTCACAAAAGGCATTCCAGTATAACTGAAATAAGTTGCTTCGTATTTACTTAAGTATTTAAAGTAGATACCCAAGAGCTATTACATTATTATGTTCATGAAGTTTCCTGATCTGTTCATGCTTGTTATGGGAAGCAGGCTTTTTAAAATATTTCTATTATTATCATCTGCAGAATTGGATGGAAAATAAAGGGAGGAGATAATTGGATTAGAGTGATGGACAAGAGACTGATATAAAATATGAAGGGCAGGAGCATTGGAACCACTGTGTTAGATCAATGTAGATTTTAAGTTTTGGGCAAACAGTGAAGTTCGTTAAACTGTCAAATCTAACTGGAGGAACAGGGAGAGCCAGATTTAAGGAAAATAATACAGACTGTTCCTGAAAAACAGGCTTTACAGGAAAATAACTAAAACAGATTAAAAAAAAAAAAACAGGAGGGTATCAACCTCTGATATGTTAAAGCAGACCAAATATGGTGGTTGGGAATACAACCTGCTAATCTTTGCATCCTTTAAAGCTACTTCATTTCTAGCTGTAATGATGAGACCACCTAGCCATACCATTAAGATCATTTTTTCACTATTTTTCTTTTTAGAATACAAACACTGATTGCTTGGATATTGCTTGTAGTCATCTTCAATCAAATATGCATGCGGTGAAGCATTACAGTTTCTCCCAGACCATTTTAAACCATACAGACACCTTTTTAGTTCATATGACTGTATTTTAACCACCTATCTTAAAACCTTCAGGTGGAATTATTTGCTTTTCATCAGTGGTTTCTATGTAAATATCTGGTCTTAACATCCATGTAGTTTTTGCTGTGCTGCTTTTATCACTGCTCTCATGCTTGTGATGTCTCCCATTGTGAAAGTTCCTCTTCATCATGTGCCCTGGATGATTGTCAAACATGAAGTCTTAGTATATTACCAACAGTAACCTTAGAAACGGTGGTCCCAGCTCATTTCAGGTCATGGACCAGCTCCTACTGATCCTAGGATCACTGAGAGCCCACAAGGTGAGATCTGGCATGGAGTCGCCGTCCGAGAGAGATTGACAATAATGTTCATCTTCATCCTTTTTATAATAATGGGCTCTATGCACAGCTCCACTACTTCCTGAATTTAAGGCAGCTCCTTTGTTTCCTGTCTTTCATTACTGGACGAACTGATTAATCCAGGTGTGTCTGGCCAGTTACTTAGGTCATACACACCTGGATTAATCAGTGCATCCAATCATGAAAGACAGGAAACAAAGGAGCTGCATTAAATTCAGGAAGTAGTGGAGCTGTGCATAGAGCCTATTGCTCCAACAGTTGATCTTTTTTTTTACCAAGTTGCTCTGCAATTGCACCGTAGCCCTTTCCAGCATTGTGGGAGTCTACAATTCTGTTTCTGGTGTCTTTGGACAGCTCTTTGGTCTTAGCCATGTATGTGGCTGTTGTCTTACTGATTGATGGACAGTTCTCTTTGTGCAGATAAAAATTTCTCTCATGCTGGACATGCAACTAGGATGAAAATTTCAGATTCCTTCATGATTTGAAAGTAGGAGAATTTGCAAAATGGCAGGGTGTTCAAATAAATATTTTCCTCTGTATAATTTGCCTGTATCAAAGTCCCTTAATTTGGCTAGCACATGAGGTTTTATCATGAATCTATAATTGTTGTGCGATAATCATATATTCAACCCCCACCCCCCATGAAGGGGCAGCAAAGATGTTATTTATTCAAATAATATTCAGACTCTATGAACACATCCCCAACTGGCTGTGAAGGGACAACAAATTAAAGTATGAATCAAGTTTAAATTATGGTATAACTTTGCACATATCATGGAATAAATTTACCACAACTTCTATCCAAAATATAGGAAGTTATTAACAAAACAAATAAAGTCATAGTCAAATAGATTTCAGTTAAAAAAACTCTTGACTAAATAAGTGAAACTCAATTAAGTACATGGTACAAAAACAAAATGAAATGACAAATGGTTAAATAAACGTAATCAGTGAGAATCATAGTTTAATGTGGATTTTGTATTTTGAAGAATCTTACATGACGTCAAATTAACTTTTAACTAATTTGGAGCAAATGGAGTGTGTTTACATCAATTAACAATGCAAATCCATGAAGCATATAAAACAATATTTGGTAAAATTAAATTTATTTTGAATATCAGAAATGATTAAACTTTAGTTGACTAATGCTTAACCATCTGTAATTGAGTTAATATGTGTTGAGCATGTGAGAAAGAGCAAACTTTAATGTTATATTTGTGTTAAAAAACTTGTTGAAATACAATTTGTTTTAACTTTATGAACAACTGCTGAAAGCATGTCTGCACGGGGAACCATGGTTTCACTATTAGCTTCTTGTTAGCTTGTTATACAGAACCAGAAACATTTAAATAACCAGGTTTATTGAAAACTCTAGGTTTGTTAACCATGAAATCATTGAAAGTCTTGACTTTTCCATTTCATTAAAACATGTCTCTCCTGTTACAGTATCAACATTCTCTTTAGAGCTGTGGTTCCCAACCCTGTTCTTTAGGAACCCCTGTCCTGCATGTTTTAGATATTTCTCTGTTCTGAAACAACTGATTCAAATTAGGGCTCCTCCTCTGCAACAAAGCGCTGCAGAACCATGTTAATCATCCATTATTTTCTGGTGTGATGCAACTAGTATTTACTGTGTAATGGAAAAATGAGAAGATACCCCATGAGATGATGCACAGGTCCTACCTGTTAAAAAACAAAGTTTTTATACCTCACCTTAATGTGCTGATAGGAACACTTCTCCACTGTGAGATTGCACCTAAATAGCATACAATGATACACTATCATTCATGCAGTATAATAGTTTTTTTCCGGTTACTGTTGCCATGGTTAAAACAGACTGTAAGCAAGCATAGCTTCAGAGAAAATAATATTTTAGGAGGATCATAACCGCGATGAACTGACTGCACAGATCACTTTGAGGCAATCTTTCTCACTTAAAAATGTGTTAAAACTACTTTTTTTCCAACTGATCAAAGCAAATAAAGCCAATCTGCTCTCTAGCTTGTAACGGCAGAACTTAGCAGCAGCAACCAGAGCATTCAGCATCCAGAAGCGTCAAGGTCTCTTTACCAGTGTTTGAACCAGCATCAAAGTTTTGGTGTTTAAGAGTTTTTGACACCCAGAAAGCATTGGGTGTGAAGTCACCATTAGAAGAGGTTCACATCAGCGAGACATCATGAATAAAAGCCACAGCTTCGGTTTCCTAAGTTATTCAGGCAGATCCCTGCTATGTTCCAACCACAGCATTGCATAATTTTTATGTCTAGTTCCTGGTTTTATAAAGTTATCACTCTAAAAGATCAGGTTGTCAATGGATTTGATCGACAGTATCTGGCTGCCATTAGGATGTAAAATCATCAGAAGTGCAGTGGTTTACTTCGTTTTAGCAAATATTTCTATTCCTGTGTGGAATCTGTGGTGTGCTTTATAACCTTTAATGTTAGATTTTAAAATGTTTGATAATCTGCTTCCAGAGAGGAAATCACTCTAATAGAATGATAGATAATATACATAAAGTTACATTGATCTATTTCTTTGCTTTTTACAGGTCTAGCAGCTGTGGTCCAAACCCAGCTGAATGTCTTCGCAGCAGAGGGTGAAGATGCTCCTCTAGGCTGTCAGCTTCTGGAAACTAAAGATGTCCACCAGGTCACCTGGCAGAAGGTCATTGGGAGGAAAGAGAGGAATATCTGCTCCTACAGCGAGTATTTTGGTCAAACAGTGAATCCTGACTTTAAAGATAAAGTCCAGTTTACAGAAGCTGGACTGAAGAATTCCTCCATAGTTATCAGGAAAGTTACAGAGCAGGATGAAGGATGTTATCTCTGCTTGTTCAGCATCTACCCTGATGGAGCTCTGATTGGGAGAACCTGCCTGAATGTTTATGGTAAGAACCAGACTGTATTCCAGGATTAACTTCTTTACTAGATGTTGATCATGATGTTTGTTCTCATCCCAGAGCTACATGAACCCATCCTTGATGTCAGCAGATCAAAGTCTCCTACAGAGTCAGTTGTGTCCTGTTCAGTCACAGGTCGACCTGCTCCCACTGTAACACTGACTGTTCTACAGCAGAACCTCAGCTTCTCCCACTACAACAGCAGCAGTGTGACCCACAGCAACGGTACAGTCACCGTCACCACCACAGCTCTGCTGTCAGCTTCCAGCAGCACACAGGTTGGATGTTCAGTGTCAGTGCTCTCTGCTGCCCCCAGAGAGAAGCTGATCACCATTCCTGGAGTTAAAGGAACATCTGATGATGGTGAGGAACTCTTAGAGCCTGAAAGATACATAGATTGTTCATGTCTATCTTTTATGACCATACAGCGACACATTTTGATGCATTTTATTGAGTTTTAGACAATACAATCAGATAATGATTTGGAAGAAGTAAAAATCTAACCTAATAAAATCTCATTAAAATCTAGGGCTGTCCTGATACAACTTTTTCATTTGTAATAAGACACCAATATTGGAGCTTTTAGAATTGACCAATACTGATATTGACCTGATATGATATAAGCATGAATCATAGATTCTTTTATATCTTATTACGTACTGTAGAATGTTAGCAAAGGTTTGATAAGGTGATATTATCAACAGAAGCAGATTGTTCCTATTAGCATAAAAATATCATAGATTTTAGATGCAGGTTGATAAAATAGAAGATTTGTTTTTTGGACAATATCAGATCAATATCTGATATTTTATATCCCATCGTAACACCACTACTAAAACCTGCTGTTGGTGGGTTTATCGGAGAAAATGTGGAAAACTTACAACTTGAATGGTTCAGACTTTAAGTTTTAGGCTCTGTGAATGAAATGCACACCTGTTTCTGATTTTCTATTTTATTTTTTATCAGGTTTAGAAAAACAATCAGAATCCTCTCTCAGAGATTCCAGTAAGTTATATTCAGATTCTCACATTGTTTAGGTTTTTTCCCACTTTGTTCTATTGTTGAGAAAAATTATATCTTCTTTCTCCAGGATGGCCTTTAATTTTTCCATTCCTGATGCTGATGATGGTTATCATTGGTATTTTCCTGCGTCGTTTTCAGCAAAGGTACGTCTATGAATTATTGATTTTTTACCTTAATAAAATTACGTACAGTAACATTTGTCACTAAATTTTTATATAATTGTTCTTCAGTTATTCACAGGAATTGATAACCATTACAAGATGCTACTCTCAGTTATAAGTAAGTATTTTTTTTTTTTATTCCTCAGTGATATGGATAGATATATTTCTTTTTTTTTTTTTTTTTTTTACGATCTCTGCTGGTGTGGTTTATACTATAAATCATATCTTTTACTCATTTTAAAGCTCTTTACAGTAGTTTCTTCTTTTTTCCATTTTCCCTTAAGGCAACATTTGTTGCTAATTCATATAATTGTTCTTCAATTATTCACAGGAATCAAAATCCAAGATGCTACCTTTAGATATATTTTTTTTATTTCTCAGTTATAGTGATATATATTTTTTCTTTTTTTTTAGAACCTCTACTGATCTGATATATCCTGTATATTTCCTGAACATTATAAATCATATTTTTTTCTCCTGTTTAAGCCAATTAGTTTATTTTTTGTACTTTCCTTTAAGGCAAGACACTTCTGCAGCGTTGGAAAAACACAAACTCAGACTACAAACATCTGAAGAAACACAAAGACAAAACAGTGATTCTGAGTCATGACCATGCAAAACAGAAACACTTCAGTTTAATCACTGTTGTTTGATTATTAGCAGTAACCCAGGCCAGGCCAAGCTGCTAAGTCAGCTAAACCTAAACTACACTTGACCAAAGCTGTTTTCATCTTTCAGCTGTCTTACTTTTATCACATTTTTGACCTCTGGGGGATGCCATATTTTAGGGTTATGATACTGGAGGATCTAATCAAAGCAGACATAATAGAAAGAATTGATCTTTGAGTATTAGTGGAAGCAGCCAGAATTTCTCATTTAAACAGCAACTCATTTCTACAGTAATCTGATCCTGTCATTCCTGCCACATTTGAGATACAGATCTTTTTACTGATGTTAAATTCAAGATGATGGAAGGAAAGTTGTTTTTTTTTTCAGTTTTTACAGCACTAGTGGATCGTTTTTTTTTTTGGAAAGTAGGCTGACAGGAAAGGGGGCATGAAAGAGTATGATTCGAACCTGGGTCAGCCGCGTGAGGTCTAAGGCCTCCATACATGGGTCGTGCTGGCTAACGCTGCGCCACCTGCATGACCAGAAGGAAAGTTTTAAAGAGTTATAAAAAAATATGTTAATCTTGAGTAAAACTATTGCATGGTATGGTTTATTTGAAATGGAAGAACATGAGGCTAATTTTTTCAGGGTAAAACAAACTGAACATACTTTTGGTTGAATCATCTCATCAATGTTCATCCAGCTGATAGATGTTTTATATCAGTTTGTTACCTGCAGAGTCCTCAGATCACCAACCAGCTCTGCTGTACTGACCTGCTGTCATTTTGAACCACAAAGCTTCAAGGACAAGAAGCAAATATGAAGTACCGGTATACAGTTTTATAAGCTGACTGATTTTTATCAAAAATGTGATTTAATCCAATGTCCAACTATAGTTGTTGCCCCAAGCATGATTGTAAACATGAAGCACTTTAAGTCTCAGACATTGACTGATTGGAGGAAGTTGAAGTAAAACAGTTAAAAGTAAAGGATGACCAGTGAGCATTATATCTTTATTTGGAGAAAAAAGTTAACCACAAATACCCTATTTAAATATGTTTCCAAGGTATAATGCATTAAATATATCATTCAATACATTTCAGTTTTAATTCATATATATATTTAATTTGTGTTTCTCTGCATGTTATAAATAATTCACTTTAATTTCAAGCACTTTTTCTACAGTTCTATCTTTCTATTTTTTATGCCATCCCTGTTATGTTACTACTAAGCAGTAAAAAATATAGATTTATATTTAAAGCCCAAGTCTGTGATTATATTTTATATTAATATATGATCTGCTAATATTTAATGTCCAAACAGTTTGACTCGGGTGCATCTCCAGGATGCACTATTCTTTTCAACGTGTTACACATTATAGTATTATGGATTAAAAAACACAAAGGACTTACTTTAAGTGCCTGCTTACATGAACTACATAATGCATTATTCTAAATCCAGTATCTAAAATCTTTCATTAGAATGTTATCATGTAACTTCTACCAATAAATATAGACTTTAATAAAAAACTATTTCATGGTGTTTTATCATTTCTAGTGCATATTTGTCTTTATTTACATTTTTATCTCAGTTGCATTTCAGTGCATAATAATGCAGAATATATATATATATATATATATATATATATATATATGTATGTATATATATATGTATGTATATATATATGTATATATATATGTATGTATATATATATGTATATATATATGTATGTATATATGTATGTATGTATATATATATGTATGTATATATATATGTATATATATATATGTATATATATATATATATGTATATATATATATGTATATATATATATGTATATATATATATATGTATATATATATATATATGTATATGTGTGTGTGTGTGTGTGTGTATATAAGAAATGTCATTGAATTAAATATAATTGTATTATTCTTTCTTCATTATTATAGTCAGACCTGTGTAGTTCAACTAGTCTCAGCTTAAAGTTTTACATTCATCTGCAATAAAATTACTAATTTTATTTTAAGACAACAACCAGCAAAATGTTAGTGTTAATTTCTGATTTAACATTGAAGTTATGCATTGAATAGTTTAGAGATTATTGCTAGAAATTAATCAGCAGCAGGAAAACAAGAAAAGCAATACTTGCCATATATACTTGATGCACAGGGGAATATTTTCAAATTATTTCAGTTGTTCCTTTAACTCAGTTTATTCATTTAGGTGCTTATTATAACTTTATATAAAATGTTAATGATTATTTGCTGTGGAGCTTTTTGAGGATCAACAATGTGTAATATATCTAAAAACCTTCTGGAGTGAACTTTGGTTCAAAGTAAATATGTTGCTTCATCCAGTATGTGTTTAAATCTAACAGAAAGGCATGAAAACCAGTTATTTGGGCCAATCAGGCTGATGAAATGTTACATTGTCATCCATTTAAATTAAAGGAATAGTACACCCAAAACATGATTAGCCTTCATTTTCTACTCACCTCCATGCTGAACAACACTCTGGAGTACTTTTTTGATATCTCAAATGCATCTGGAGATCTGGGAGGCTTCTTGCTGTCTGCTGACATTCAAATAATGGAGGTCCATGGCGCCCGAGACAGAAAGGTCCATAAAAGTCCACAAAAACGTGTCAATATTCCTCCATACTGCTCGTCCAATGTAATCCAAGTGTCCTGAGTGGGTAGCATCCAGAATTTACTCGAAACGAAGTCATTTAGAATGTTTTTAGAGCATAAACAGTAGTGTATAGGATTTCCTAATAGCGCCCCCATGCGCGCTCACGATTCTACGGAAGCCGGCAGACCAAACCGGAAGAAGGTGCGCATTCAGCGTCTGGTCTGCCGATAATGCAAGCGTAGAAGAAGAAATGTGCTGTTTACCTGTGCAAAGAAAGAAACAACGAAAGAAGAATGTCTGAGGACTTCAGTGTTGAGGAAGAGCATGAGTTCTTTGCCGAGCTGAATGCGCTGGTTTGGTCTGCCGGCTTCCGTAGAATCGTGAGCGCGCATGGGGGCGCTATTAGGAAATCCTATACACTACTGTTTAGGCTCTAAAACGTTCTAAATGACTTCGTTTCGAGTAAATTCTGGATGCTACCCACTCAGGACACTTGGATTACATTGGACGAGCAGTATGGAGGAATATTGACAAGTTTTTGTGGACTTTTGTGGACCTTTCTGTCTCGGGCGCCATAGACCTCCATTATTTGAATGTCAGCAGACAGCAAGAAGCCTCCCAGATCTCCAGATGCATTTGAGATATCAAAAAAGTACTCCAGAGTTTTGTTCAGCATGGGGGTGAGTAGAAAATGAAGGCTAATCATGTTTTGGGTGTACTGTTCCTTTAATGTACACGTTTTTGAGAAACAAAAGCATTTTCTGTGTCCTTTTTTTGCATTTTTAACAAATATGTGCTATTTAATACCAGGGGATGCCAAAGAAAAGCCAGTGAAGTTAAAACTATAAATTTGTACCACCAAAAGATCACCATCTCTGGATGTGCAACACCTGGAACCTTGGAGCAGATCAGCTACAGCAGCAGAGGATCCCACAGATTAATATTCCTGTCAGCTACTGAGAGCAAGAACCTCAGACTGTAGAACAACAGATGCTGTTTAATGATGTGCTGCTAACAAATCAACTGTGGGATTCTGGAATCTCAGTATTTATCACAATCTCTACACCGGACAGCTATGTAATAAAAAATAAGAGGTTCTAATCTGATAGTATTAAACTGCAGGGTGGCAACCGTAGCTCTCATCTTTTATTTCAGTAAAAGAGGAAAAGTTCTGAAATGTACAAAAGTAAAAAATGTTTTTCTTTTGCCTTCAATAATAAAGGAGATTTATTCCATAACTTTTGATAAATAAAAAAAACAACAAAGTTTTAGGTACAAAACAGATCAGCCAAATAATTATAGCCTATATTCCATATTTTGGAGACAGCTGGATTAATGGTTTCATTTATCACAGCAAGTCTTCCAGTCCCTAAAGCAGTAAAATAGCCCCAGACCATCACACTACCACCACCATGTTTTACTGTTGGTGTGATGTTCTTTTTCTTAAATGCAGTGTTTCTTTTACACCTTCCCAAAATAAATTCTTGTCTTTTTAGTCTACAGAATATTTTTCCAAAGGTCATGGGGATCTTTAAGATGTTCTGAAAAAAGTTCCTTTTGGTCAGTAATGGTTTTATTCATTGAACGCTGCCATGCAGGCTATGTTAGCCCAGTCTCTGACTTTTAACTCTCTCCAGACAGATAGATCAGTTACTTTTTCTCTCATTTGTTACCAAATTTATTGGCATATCTTCATGATGTCTAGCTTCCGAGGATAACTTTGGTGCTCTTCACTTTGTC